GGAACGATGGTGTTTTTTAAAATGATGATGCTTTTTGAAACAATGCTAATTCTGAGAATAATGTTGATTCTTGGGATAATTCTAATTCTTCTAATTCTTGAAATGATTCTGAATCTTGATATAATTCTGAATCTTGAAGTGATTTTGACTCTTGAAACAATGTTGATGCTGATTCTTGAGATGATGATAGTTGTGATATTGATGCCAATTCTTTATTCTATAAATAATGTAATTAATTAAATAGTAAAGTATAAAATAAAAAATTTTTTGTATTTAATTTACTTTATTTAGTAGCAAATTTCTTACAGTTCCAATTAAAAAAGATAAAGCTTCTTCTTTTTGTTTGTCTGAAGGTCTCAAGTATATTCTAAATGAAGATTTACTTTTGTGTCTTGTGATAGCTATAGAAGTAATTAATAGCACACTGGCCTGATACAGAGAAGTAATTGGAGTTGTGTGACCTAAGTGGTTAACTATGTCATGACCTTGTGTCTCAATACTCACAGATTTACAAATACTTTTCATTAAATTGCTACAAGATTTAATTCCAAGTCTTGTATCATGATACCATTCATTCTGAATTATAGCTGTAATTTTATAATCGATAAAAAATTTTTTTAAAAAAATTACTTCTAATAAAAAAAATCAAAGTACCTTTCAAATGATTATTAATTTTTAAATATAAAAATTCACATATATAATTTGCTGGTCAATATTCAATATATAATTTTATGTCATGAACAGAGCCAAGTAATCCTTCTAGGTCAGGTGGCATAGGAATAATTAATGAATCCAAGTTACAATCGATCCCACCTTGGTTATTTTTTTAGAAAAATTTTGAAAATTGCAAACCACTATTTTGAGTAAAAATAAACTGTGACACACGCATCTCTCCATACTCACTACTTCGAGGAGCAAATAACAAACAACACCACATAAATATACAGTACTGTAGACCTTGTGGATAAGAAATAGATGTTGCTTTATGCTGAAATATTGTCTGAATTTCTTTTCTAGTCAATGAATCATAATAGCATGCAACTTTTTCTATTTTTTTAAGTTGCTTTATTTTACCATCTAGAGTTTTCCATAAATCCCTAAATTCCTGTTTGCTAGCTAGATTATATTTATTAATATTTAACGAATAATCTAAAAGATATATCGCAAGACAATTAATTGCATTTCGAAAGATAATGATGCATATTCATCACTATTTCTTAATTGATATATACTACAAACAAACTCAATCATTTCCTGTTCAAGTTGTTGCTTATTTTGAATGGTTTCAATTTGATAACTATAACCAATATTTTCATGCCAGTTATTTAAAATTTGAACCCAATTAACTATTGTTTTTCTTGTATTTTCTAGAACAGTAGAGCTTTTAATGTATTGTATTTCTTCTCTAGAGGGTTTAAAGTTTCTGGTATTTGTTTTAGATGCTTTTTCCTATTATAAAAAAGATCAGTTTAAATAAACACTCTTGAATATTCTTCTTTAATAAACATTTATTTACTTTTGGTATTTTTACTAATATGTTATAAGCAATACAATATAAGCAATACAAGATGAGCAATACAAGATAAATTAAGCAATACAAAACTAAAAGTGTAAACAAAAAATATATATATACTTTTTTTAATACTACATCATTTAGTCTATTTAATAGTTAATCAGTATCGTTATCATTGACTTATCTGATTACATTTATTAAAATTCTCTAAAAATTCAAATGGGTTTTATTAAATAGCAGTTGTGGATAGCTTTTTTTAACTTATTAACCGATTTAATTGGTTTTCTATAAATACAGAATTCAAATTTAAAAAAAAATTTCTTTTGTTTGAGTCAATTAAAAAGAAAAATAAATCTGTTATTGGATACTACGCACCAATAACAATCATATCTGGCAGCGAATTTTTATGCATTCGCACCTGGGCCCCTTTAGGGCCCAGGTACTTACACATAAAAATTCGCTGCCAGATGCTTTTTTTATTTGTCATCCAAAATGATTATCCCGTGATCCGCAGAATCATGGTATTCTTATTTTTCCTGCCAAATAAAACTGTTATTGAATGCTTCGCATCCAATAACTATTTATAATAAGTTATATCTAAAAATTTTAACTATATAAGTCTACATTGTGTTTGTAAATCTATATAAAAATTTTATATACCATTTATATAACTTTATAGAATTATATAAGTTTATAAAAAAATGTACTTCATGATGTATATGAGTACTGCTTCTTTACAACTTTTGTTAAAAGTTGAAAACAGGTTTGTTTAGTAAGAAATCGATTTGTCTTTGGTGAAACTTCAGATTCTAAAAACAATAGTAAATTTCCCCAAGATTTTTTCACTGGTTTTCTCATAGATTACAAATTAATTATTTATTATTAGCAAGATTCAGCCCTGATCAGTGATCCAAGATATACTGATTATGTAACTAAATGAGCACTGCAAAAGAAAATCATAGTACTTATTTAATCATATATCATATATACATGGTGTTTTAAAAGTTTTAAAACATGGACCCTTTTTTTTTAAGTGACCTTATATATAGAGATTATTTATGCAAATATAATATTTGCATAAATAATCTCTATATATAAGGTCACTTAAAAAGAGACCATGTTTTAGAACTTTTAAAATACCTAATATATAGTCGACTTCCACAATAGTCACATACTGAAATCAGCATTTTATGTACCTATTGCGAAATTGTGACTAAAGTGAGAAAGAATTTATATAGTTTGTATGATTAGGTAAATAAAATCAAGGTGACTATAGCGTAATTGTAACTAATATGAGATGCAACTATTGTGGAAGTCGACTGTATTAATTAGGGCTGAATCCTGCTAATAATAAATAATTAACTACCGTATTTTTGCGTAATAATGCTCATGAATATTATTTTGAAAATCATGCTCTAAAAATAATATATAGTTTCAAAATAATGCTTATGCGTATTCTAAAATAGCATGCACTCCATAGTAAAAGCATGACAAACGTTCAAGTTAATGTATAAAGGTTATACAAGATTTTGCATATCAAAATCATAGAAGCAGGAGATATGTCATATGACCGCATATCAAAAAAATCAGTTGTTCTTTACAAGACTTGGCCAGATTGTTTGTTAAGTACATTACAAGAGAATAGTAGCAACCTATCATTGAGATCACTGAATCCGCAGGACTTTTATTAGAAGTAATTTTTATAGCGATGATAATATATAATATATGAATAAATTTAATTTTTTTTTTTTTGTTTCAGCAATGACTTAGAAAGAGGTTAGTAACTTTAACAGTATTCATACAGAGACTGCATTTTATTGCTTCTTCTAATGGTACATATTTACCAATGCTTTATTTTATAAATCTCTGCTGCTAGTCTAGACAAAGTGTCTAGTGCTTCCTCTATTTCCTCAGAACCTTTGTCTGTGCCTTTCTCTATATCATTTTCATCATCGTCAAGATCTTCCTTTGTAAGTTTATTTTCTCCTTTTTCAATTCATTTTATAAATGAATTAACATTTTCGAAAATCTCTCTCTTATAATATTCTTCACAGTATTTACACTTTTTATTATAACAAACTTTATAATAGCCATGACCACAAATATACACTATACTGTTATTATTACTTAATGGAAAACTACAACAATCACATAGTTCAGGGTGTGGTAGATGAGATATACTATATGCCGTTGGTAGGTATCGTAGATCTACTTTTTATTTCAAAGTAGCTAGTTGGTATATTTCAGGTGGTTTTTCTTGGAGGTTTTTTTGGCAGGAGCTTTGGTGGGTTTTTTTAGTAAAGTTTTTGTTAGTAGAATTTTTTTTGGTCGCTTTTTTTTGTACGTTTATTTTCTTTGTATTCTCTGTAGTTTTTTTGTTGGGGTTTGAAATGCTTTTTCCATGATTATAAAATACTTCTTGAAAATATTGTAAAAAGAAAAGCGCCATTTTTTCATATAAGAAATTGAGAGTTGCAGCATTATATGAATATTGTTGTGTCTTACAATATATGTCTTTAAATATAGGATCATGATCTATAATAACATATACTTGCTTTATAACATTTTCTGCTATTGTATTTTTTGATATATTGGCACGAATTCGACTATGGGTGTTTTCTATGTAGTATTCATTAAAACTAGTCAAATGATTTTTTATAACATTTAAAAAAGGATGATTGTTATCATTCCAATAGAATAAATCAGACAAAAACATAAAGAGGGCCTTATTATAGTTCTTCCTTTTCCATCACAAAGCAAAGGTTCAAATACAAAAGACTCTCTCTATATATTTGCTGAATAAGCCCGATCGAAATAGAGTAGCATAGATTTCGAGTGTCGACGGAATTATATTGTCAAGTAAGTCAATCAACATTCGGTACTCGATATCTTTGCATATTTTCCCAAATTTTTTTATAATTTTGTTCTTTATTTTTAGCTAGCCATTTCACATAAGCTTTAATAAGAGGTTTATTCTCCAGGGTCGAGGTTTCTTTGCCAATTTTTTTTTTCTTCCAAATACGTAATAGAACATTTTTTCAAAAAAAGAATGGTAAATTAGTATAATATATTCTCTGCTATTTAATGATAAATAAAGTGGGCCCAACATGGGTAAAAATGATTCGATTTGTTGTAGAATAATAAAATTTGTATTAGATAATTTTCACAAATGTAGCAATTTCCTAATAAAGAGCTAGCCAGGCCAGTCAGCAACAACAGATATAACTTATCTAAATACTGTGTTTTACTATTAATTAAAAGAATAATTTTTAATGCATTAAGGTAATTCTCTACAGAATACAAGTGTTGTTCTCTAAATCCTGCAAGCTGAAGTCCTCTCATTGACCTCTCCTCCTTACATTCTACTATATTGTTAGCGTAACTATGTATCATTAACATTTCAATCAGATTGAATATATTAATTATTAAACCTTGTGAAATTTTATATGATTGATAGTCTATATATGAAATATCAAAAACCCTAGTATATACATTTAATAAATACCAGTAAATTCTTAATACTTCAATGTTTTCCAGATTATGAATAAATACTTCATTAGATATAAGTTGTACAGAGAAATGTTCAATAACTAGTTTTGTTACACAAGTAGCAAAATGATTTGCAGTCGAAGTTGATACAGTATCAGTTCTACAATTTTCATGGATTGCATGATAATTTTCAATATTGTAAACGTGAAATAAATTTTTCTATTATATATATAAAAATATACAATTTA